TTTTTTTTTTTTTTGTTTTTGTTTCTTTCTCTGTTTCTTTTTGTTTGTTTCAGTTGTTCGTTTGTTTGTTTGTTTGTTTCTCTTTTTCTATCAGTCTCTTTATTTCTTTCTTTCTTTCGGCTAGACAGTCAAAGATTTAGATGAAACTAGATGCAATAGATGTAAAATTAAGCAAAGTTTCGCCATAAACTAGTTTATTTTCTTATTTTCATGTCGCGAATTCGTTGAAAAAAATTATTCCACTAGTCTTCATTCAGGTCTTAATAAAATAGATTATTTTTTGAAGCAAATCCTCAAGAATTGTGGCCGATTCATTCGACTTGTGTTCGATGTCGGATTAGCCAAGCTTCGTTCAAACATGACTGGCTGATTTAAATTTCTTCAAGACTTTATTGGAATTATCTATCCATTTTTTATTTTTTTTTCGCTATATGTTATATTTCGTTTCCCAATGAATTTATTCTTGATTATTCTTAATCAGATTATTCTTTTTGATCGAAGAATTTTTTTTGTTTTTGTTTTGAGTAAATCCGACTGCGTTCGGCATGCACTTCAAGAATTATCTTTCTTGTCSTTATAAGTCTTTGTTCAGTTCGTTCTCATCAAATAAAAAATTAAATATTTTCATTTATTACAGTATTCTGTGAACTTAAAAGAGACGAAGGCTATTCGCCGAGTCTCTTTTAAGTTTACAGATTTTAAGAATACTACATACAGTCAATTCAAAAAATGTTGTCGTCGACCAACTCAAGCCTACGCGACTGGACCGAAAGGAACTCTGGGTAGTAATCATTGAAGTCGAGTTGACTCCATAATTTTATCTGACTAGTTATGCCTGGTTTACAGCACGAACCTTCGTAGGCGAGCGGGAAGTGTGTTGAAGGAGACGTTTTTTTAATGCTTTCATATTTTCGAAATTGTGAACTGAATCATAACTACTTTGTTTTTCTTTCCCTAAACCCAAAGACATGCATTTGATGGATTGTTTCTCGCCATTATTATCTTATTACTAGCGGGAACAATCAACCAGAACAAATATTTTTTAAATATTTGTTCTGAATTGATTGTTCCCACTTCAGTGATTTTTACCCATATCCCTTTCGGTCCAGTCGCGTAGGCTTGAGCCGGTCGACGACAACGTTTTTTGAATTGACTGTACGTAGGGCCTATATGTCACGAGCGTGTTCGCAGAGAAAAGACGAAATTCAGGATATACAATATACAAACATTTTATCATCAAAACTTTCGCTATTGATGGGTTGCAAGCGTTCCCAAGAGAGTTAAAAGACAAAAACATGGGGGCCATTGTGGTACCGTTAGCAATGATGCTAATGAGAATTAATCTTTTGTTAAATGGTACCAACATGGCCGAGATGACGTAACGTGCAAACGAAGAATTGTGATTTTACGTCCGCTAGACCGGTGAATATTGTCTCATTATCACTTCACAGCGCTCAGAACTCTATATTTCGATATTGATTTTACGTCATTATCACTTCACAGCGCTCAGAACTCTATATTTTGATATTGATTTTACGTCGTTATCACTTCACAGCGCTCAGAACTCTATCAAGTCTAAAAACAAATTTATTATCAATATCTATATATAGAGGATATTACACGCTGTCGCGAAGATATGAAGTTTATCTTCGAGTGGTGAAGTATTTTTCAACGCGAGAAGATAAACTTCATATCTTCAAGCCAACAAATCTAAAAAGAAAAACTAAGCAAGTTAATCAAAACAGGTTCCGGAAAACATCGCAAGTGATGTCCTCGATATCCTCACTAGTAAAGACAGGAAAATATGTTATTCAGGTCCCGGATGTACTTTGTACGAAAAATACGAGTGGTGTATTTCCCAGTAAAGCCCCATTTACACTGGCGATTTTTGCTGCGATTTTTGCTGCGATTTTTGTGGCAATTTTCGGGAATATGATATCTTTTGTCTCATCCTTCAAAAGAGACATTCGTCTAGGAAAATCTTGGTATCCTGAAATAAACTTTACAAGTAAATTCTTTACCATTATTTATTATGGACAAAATCGTAAAAAAAATGCAGCAAAAATTGCCGCAAAAACGCTAGTGTAAACGGGGCTTAAAACACTCATGTTTATATGATAAATAGAGGATATTTCGTTTTTTCGCTTCCTTTCTATCCCTCGCTTTAGAATAATAATAAACGAATTATGGGATGCAGCCTTAAAGTTGGCAGAAATGTAGGCAATTTTGCGTTCTATTCAAACATGAACATTTTAAAAATGAATTGCATGCAAAATTTAAGATTTGGGCGTAGCCACACATTATTTTTTTGGTACTCGTCACTTTTAAAAGAACCGACTATCTTTCGTGACTGTTTATCTTACCAAACTTCCTCTTGCAATTCAATATGTATTCATGAACACCCAATTAAGAGAGGATGTCAGCAAAAATCGAACATACGCCGGCAACAGTCGAAAAATCGAATTTGCTCATATTTTAGTATTAGGAAGACCTTGATGCGATATAAACCGTGGTATACTTCATTTGCCAAAATATCGCTTTATTTCCGAGAAAAACGAGGAAAACCAATTTGTGCATAATTGACCCTCTGA